TCTTTACTCTATGCCAAAGGGGCAGCTACAGTGAAAACTCAACACTGTAAAGACTCAACGCTGCATCTCTGCCATCACCTGCTGTATCGCTATCTTCATCAAATTGTGAGTAAAGGCTTCCCAACGCGTCCGGACGCCATCTTGGCAGCAGAAAATCGGCTGAAAAGTAAACAAGTCATGTAAACTTATATGTAAATATAGCGGGCTGTTTTATATGTAGTCCAGAAGCCACTCTTAATTAGTATGCAAGAGGAGACTTCGCTACAACAGTGATCAAGTTTATTGTATTTGTTGTATGAGAGCATAATGTTAAGAGTCCTAGAGTGAAATTGTAAGCAACGATATCTCCTAATTTCCTAACCACAAAACTATTATTTAATTACTTATAGGGTAAATTGTCTGGTTAGAAAGCATCAGCAGTATTTTTGTTTTATAACATTTTGCCATATTGTATGCATTGTTTGCTAATCTTATAAGTATACAAGTGTAATGCCTGTTTTCAGTTGTAGTTTAAATAGCAAGTTTGTGCCAACACTCACCCAAAATTAGGAACCGACACATACACAAAATGTTGTCACTTGCTGAAGAAACAGACAAACCCACAGTCACAACAGGTCCAGCTCTAGAGAGTGAAGCTTAACAGGAAAAGGCCAAGAAATGCACGAAGAAACAGAAGCTGCCCTCTCAGAGTCATTACCAGACTCCTACTCAAGCTCGAGAGCCATTTCCAGTACTTTTAGCATACACGCAGATGCAGAAGCCGACCTTGCAGCCAAAATAGAACAGGCAAATGCAATGCAACAGTTACAAACTGGAGAGTGAATTAAAAAAGAGGCACAAATGCTTGCAGAAATTAAACTGAAGTTGGATGAGGAAAAAACAAGGATACAACAGCTACAAGCAGAAAATTAAGTCAAGGTAGCAGTGGCACGAGTGAAAGCTTACAATTCCTATGATGATCTTGAAAATTGTGAGCAGAAGACAGACCACAAGGTGCAATACCTTGGCCAAAATAATGAACCTCAAACCTCATTAAATCCACAATCTGTGCCATTTCAACCTTCAAATACACCACTGGAGGTGTCAAGACCACAAGAAGAGATTAGCCTAACTCAAGGTCTTGCAAGTCTGCTCATCTCCAACCGTCTTCCTATACCTGAACCAACCATATTCACAGGTGATCCTTCAAAGTTCATAGATCGGACGATATCCTTCACGGCACTGATTGATCAGAAACCACTCCCTGTATGTGAAAAAATGCTGTACTTGAAGAGGTATCTCGGTAGTGAAGCTCGTAAGGCAGTGGAAGGTGTCTTCTATCGAAATTCAGAAGATGCTTATCTAGGTGCTTGGGGAATCCTACAGGACAGGTATGGAGGTCCATTCATTGTCCAAAGAGCTTTCAGAGAAAGGTTGACTAAAAAGCCAAAGATATCAGCACTTAAATGAAACCCTCCACCTCCAGCATCCCAGAGATCTCAGTTCCAAGACCAAAGCCACCTCGCCTAGTCTGCAAGGATGGAACACATGGTATCGTTAAATGTCTAACTTTTTGCTACAAAGACCACCGAGGAAAAGAAGGCCTTCATTTATGAAAACCCTCTCTGCTTTGGTTGCTTAAGAAAGGGCCACACTACAAGGAACTGCAAAGGAAGACACATATGTAGTATATGTAGTCGACGTCATCCAACCTGTTTGCACATACAGAGAAACACAGAACCTGTTAAAACACTGAACAATGATTCAGTAGCCACAGGAAGTAAAGTAAACAACACCAATGTTCCCAAAGTTATGTCCCATACATTGACAACGATCATTCTGTCACACCTTGTATCATTCCAGTCCTGTTGTCAGCTGCAGCGGAGCCTCAGAGAGAAATCCTCACTTACGCCTTACTTGACATGGAGAGTGATTCAACCTTTATTTTGGCAGACCTGGTATCTAGTAAAAAACAAAGAAAAAGTTACCTGCTCTCTCTCCTAAATCCCTATCTATATTTAAACAAATGTAGGCCATTTAGTTACTCCAATGGCCATTGGAGGGAATGCCCGTCTGCCAATGTCAAGGCAGACACCCTTCAGGTGGGTCCTACTCTGACCTGTCACATTGCTTCCTTGAGCTTCTGGCAAAGATATCTCTAATGAGACAGAGAGGGGTATTATTTGTATACACCTCTATATACATGGTATCTAAGCTAAGTGTGAGCACCAAGCTGTTACAGCTAAAGCTCAGCACAATGACAGCTGTCGACACAGTCGTATCAAGTCAAATCGCTCACGGTCTGCAAGTGCGTGGCTTCAGCTCTGAAGCTCAAGTCCAACTCCATCAAGCCTACACAAAGATTTCATTCCACTAAATAAGTCTCACATCCCCACTAAGGTGCAATAGTCACAACTCAAGCACTTGGCAAACAAGTTAGAGCCACTTCATGACTGTGAAGTCGGACTGTTGATTGGTTATGAATCAGCACTGGCCCTCTTAGATGTCGTTACTGGCTCTGAAAATGAACCCTTCACTTAAAAAACTGTGCTCGGCTGGAGCATTATAGGGTCAACAAATCCTCAACTTGATAGACAGGGTAGCCAAAACTTTGTACATAAAGTTGCAGTGAAAGAAATGCCAATGCCCCGGTCACTGATGTGTTAAAGGCTTTTGAAATAGACTTCAGTGAAAAAAAATATGAAGATGTCTCAAGATGACGTTCACTTTGTGCAGTTTCTCTCTGAAACCATAATGAAATGGAAAGATGGACACTATGAAATGCTGTTACCCTTCAACCGGTACTACCCAACAATGAGAGCCAACATCTAAAGGAAAGGTTGAAGGCCAACAAACAGTACCATGAGCACTACACTGCATTCACAGAAGAAACAATCAGAAAGGGTGATGCAGAACCAGCCCCTTCATTGTCGGAGGGAGAAACAGTGTGATAGATCCCACATCACCGGGTCTATCACCCCAAGAAGCCAGACAAGTTAAGAGTCATCTTTGATTGTTCAGCAAAGTTCCAAGGCATCTCCCTAAATGATACTTTACTGACAGGTCCCGACCTGATAAATTCCCTAGAGGGAGTTCTTTGTCGCTTCAGGAAGGAAGCAGTGGCTGTGATATGCGACATTGAAAAGATGTTCCATCAGTTGTATATCCCTTCAGAAATGTCCAACTATTTAAGGTTCTTTTGGTGGGAGAACGGTCAGTTGGAAACAGAATTCAAATAATACAAAATGGCAGTTCACATTTTGGTGCAAGTTCCTCTCCAGGATGTGCCAACTTTAGCCTTAAGTATCTTGCATGACAATACAAGGCATAATATCCCTCAGCATCAGCCTTCACCGAGAAGAACTTTTATGTCAACAATGGCCTAACCAGTGTTTCAACAGTCAGTGAAGCTACAAATCTGGTCATCGAAGCACAAGAACTATGCAAGAATGCCAGCTTACAATTTCATAAGTTCAACTCTAACAAAAAAGATGTCCTGTCTTGTAAAGCTCCATCAGAAAGAGCAACAACTAGTGAGCCTCTCAAACTTAACTCAGACTCAATACCAGAAAGACAAGCACTTGGCATTCAGTGGTCAATTGAAAAGGATCCTTTGTAAACGCTGAAGCTTAAAGTATCAACCCTCAACTCGTTGTGGTATCCTGTCAGTTGTAGCCTCTCTTTATGATCCTCTAGGTTACATAGCCCCCTTCATACTGAGTGGCAAGTGTATTCTCCAAGAGCTTTGCTGCAGGGGTATCATTTGGGATGAAGCACTTCCTGAGAGCTTAAGCCCACGGTGGGAGGCCTGGAAGAGTAGTCTGCCAGCTTTAAAGAAAATCAAGATACCCAGATGCTACCATCCTCCAGACTTCGGTAACACAGTGAAGGTGGAACTACAACACTTCTCAGATGCCAGCAATGTGGGATATTGCGCCTGTTCTTATCTTAGGTACAAGAATGAGGTCAAGTTCATTGCAGCTTTGTAATGGCCAAAGCAAGAGTTGCGCCAATGAAGATTGTGAGCATCCCAAGGCTGGAACGCTCAGCTGCAGTCACTGCAGCAAAGTTGAGTGTCATGTAGAAGGCAGAACTTGAAATAGAAATTGATGAAGTATTCTTTTGGACAGACTCCCAGGCAGTTTTGTCATACATCAATAATGAAGCGAGAAACTTTCATGTGTTTGTAGCCAATCGTGTTCAACTCATAAGAGAGATTACAGATCCAACTCAGTAGAAGTATGTGGATACAGCACAAAACCCAGCCGACCATGTATGGGTCTTCACGTTGCAGATATTTTTCCCTCAAGGTGGTTATCTGGGCCTGGTTTCTTATGGAAATCTGAAGTGCTTGCATCTCCAAGCTCTTCAGCAGAACTGATTGTAGGCAACCCTGAAGTTAAACCCCTTGCCACCCTTGCATCACAAGTCAGTGATCAAACTGATATTCTAAATTGTCTGAACAAGCTTTCCAGTTGGTTAATCGTTAAGGTGATTACAAGAATCAAGAGAATAAGACTGAAGACACATCACTGCATCAATCATGTGACTGTGGAGGAATGTAAAGAGTCTATGGAGGTAGTGATAGGTTTAGTTCAACAGCAAGTTTTCCCCCAAGAACTAAAACTTCTTCAAAGAGGAGATAGTCTTCCAAGTTCAAGCCCCATTCTGGTTTAAGGACTTCATGGAGTTGATGGAAGGCTGTCAAGATCTACCCTTAGTCAAGAAACAAAGCACCCAGTCATCCTCCCAAAAGAAGGACACATTACCCAGTTAATCTTATCCCACTACCATGCAGCCACTTGTCACCAGGGCCGCAGCCAAACTCTAACAGAACTCCGAGCAAATAGATTTTGGGTGCTTGGTGGGAGCAAGTCAGTTGCCAAGTTAATACATAAATGTGTACAGTTTTGAAAGCTCCGGTGCCCCACAGAAGAGCAGCGCATGTCTCTGAAGAACATGTAGAAGTTTCAGCTCCCTTTACATATTATGGTATGTACTGTTTCGGTCCCTTTATCACAATGCAAGGTCGTAAGGAGTACAAGAGGTATGGTCTCATCTTCACATGCTTCCTCTCACGTGCAGTCCACATTGAGATGCTTGAAGATTTAGCTACAGACTCCTTCATCAAAGCCTTAAAGTGTTTCATCAATTTGAGAGGAGCCAATGGCCAACTTTACTGTGACCAAGGCACGAACTTCATAGGAGCAAAGAACGAATTAAAAGAAGCTCTGAAGCAGTGTGACACCAAGACACCGGAAGCTTTCCTAGCTGATAAACAGTGTGAGTTTATCTTCATTGCCCCCTCTGCAAGTGATGCAGGTGAAGTCTGGGGACCCCAAATTAGGACCATTCGTAATGTGCTAAGTGCCACAACCGTTCAGTGTTTAAGTAGACTGGATGATACTTCTCTTAAAACACTATTTTATGAAGCTATGGCCATTGTTAATAGTTGTCCTTTAACTGTCAATGGAATCAACGACCTCAAAGCACCAGAACCTCTAACTCCAAACCATCTCATCCTGATGAAATCCAAGGTTGCATTACCCTCCATCCAGGAAGTTCGTAAAGGAAGATGTGTATGGAGCTAAAAGGTGGCGAAGAGTACAGTATTTAGCAGAACAGTTCTGGAGTCAATGGAAAAGGGAATATCTCATGAGCGTTTCCACAACAGAAATGGCACACACTTCGACGTAACCTGAAAGTAAACTACATAGTTGCCAGTGGCAGCTGGGACATGTGATTGAAACTATAAATTTAATATAAATTTAACCAAGAGAGTTGTGGTGGGGAAAAGAGTGTGGTTGAAAACCCCTTCCACCTGAAGTAAGTGGATAGTTAATACATTGCTAAACACAAATACACACACCACAACTCTGGTATGTACTTTACAAGTAACGCCAAGCCTCCATAGCAAGCCCTTAACAATGAAACAGCTGTCTATGAGTGGTTCACTGGCTTTGCTCCTCTTCCTGAGTTGTGTTTCAAAGCTATTGTATACAGCAGACACAAACTCCAAGGAATCCATGTATAAAATGGAAAGGAGGCAAAAATGTGGTTCTTTGTTGAGCTCATTTGCATACGCCTACCAAGAATCCCTTGCAGTAGTGAGTAGTGTTAAAGTGAGATTTCTGTGGGAAAAGCAATTCTTATGGCTTGACTGGTGTGCGTATTTGTGTTTAGCAATGTATTTTTATATATATATATATATATATATGTATATATATCTATATTATTTCTAGCAAAGAGATCTTACTATAATGTGTTCAAATTAAGGTAAATAGTTTTCCACTGCTGGGTAAATTAAGAGAATTTGGAAAGTTGGCAACAGTTAGTGCTTGCTATGGGGCTTTCCATTAGTTAGACTAATCCAAAAATACATGTTTCTGCAATTCCTCCTCTGAAAAGCCATTTACATTTTCCAATTTTTCTCTTCCCAGTTTGATCCATTATAACAGAATCAACCTGCTATAAACATTATTACCATTTAGATTTTCACACCGTAAGACCCACTCTTTAATAATAACTTATAATATGTTTTTACTTTGCCAGCTATCATGATATGAAAAAGATGCCAAGATGTATAATGAGCTCAGTAGAAAATGAAATGTGAACTAATGCCATGCTCTGCATACATTATTTAAATATGTGTATACATCTGATCATTAAAGGTATGGCAGGTGGGTAAGTTGAATCTTAACAGAGGTGAGTGAAGGACTGACAGACTTTCACCCACACCCTGTAACCTGTATGATCAGAGAGCTTTTTAAGTCCAAGGCCCTTTGAACCACTTATTACCTAGCCATCAATTAAACCATGTATCATGCCGGCCATACTAGGCATATACATACAATATTTGGTAGAGTTTTGTTTCTCCATGGGTTTGCAGGTGCATTTAGTAGCCCTCCTTTCTGTTTTAAAAGGAACACTCTGCCAAAAATTACATTCTTTTATGTTGTTAGTAACTTGGTATATATACCCTAAAAAATGATTTTGTGTTTTTTATTGTCTTCCCAACTCCTTTATAAAGATGTTATTAGGTCATTATAATTCCCTGTATGTTTTCTGACATGTATTGGTTATTTGTATTTTATTAAGTTTGTCACAGCAAGCTTTATGTAACGAATGTATGAGATAGTCCCAAGCAAAATAAAGTCAGTTCCTTTTCTAACTTGTGTCCTGTGTGGATTTTTAGGGATCCCAGTGACAGAGTCTTTGGACCAGTTGGCTGGTTAAATGTTGGCTAAGAACCGCAAGTGCCTTTGTAAAGGAAGTAGCAATCACTATAAGCAGTGCTGCAGAGGGGACGATACCTGCCTGAAAGAAGGGCTGCAACAGACTAGGCAGAGGGGGATGATACCTACCTGGAAGGAGAGTTGAACCTGGTCAGATGGAAAAGCTCCAGAAGGATCCCAGTCAAGCTGCGGCTACTGGGGCAGAAGCACTTCAGGTTTCCTCGGTCCAGCTAGGAAGTGAGCTTGGCAGAGGTACCCAGCCAGGGGTATACGGAGCTCCATCACAGATGCAAATACACACTTACTGTAACACAGTTACATAGATACACACATACTGATACACATACACACACATACTGACACACATATACATACATACTGACAGATACATACACTCAGTGACCCATAGACACACATACAACCTGCCACCACATACATACACACTATAACTCACACACTCAGTCACCAACACACATAGTAACCCATTTACACACAAGGTGACCCCCATACACATAGTCCCACCTTCAGTGCAGGATTATTCACATGCAACTTCTGACATACCACTCGGACCAGCACTTGGTCAGTGACTCCCCTTCTTTCGGAAGTTTGCCCAAACATAGACATGCACACCAGAGCAGAGAATTCCCATGATTGGTCGTAAGTATGAGCCATCGTAAAACAGGTAGGTCGCCAAAGAAGACCACCTGTACTAATAAAAAGTAACATATGTCACCTAGAATTGATTATATACAAAATAATTGAATTTTAATAATAGCTAAAATTTGAATTAAATATTATATAACAATATTTGGTTGTGCAAAGCAACCCTTGAGTTGCCTATGTTGGTCAAGTAGCTCCTTGAGAAGATTACATTGGTCAAGCCAACCAAACAACTGAAAAGGTTGGATGTTTCTGCAGGAACAAATGACATTATTTTGAATCTTTTTCTTTTTTTAAACTATAAACAAGTCTTCTAAATTTAGCATGTTGTATAAGCAATCTATCTAAGGTGACAATTGTCCTTTCATGAAAACATGGATTAAAAAAAACAACTTTAGCTCATTCATTTTTAAATTAGGCTGTAGTTATGATAGGCTACCATGATTAATTTATTGAAATGCCTCAAATATCCACTGGGATTCAACTGTCATAATCTATTATCATCCTGTGGCTGTCAAAGTTATTAATGTCTGCTACTAGTTCTAATAGTTGTACATTCCTTCTAGAATACCAGAAGAAGCATTTAGCTTCTCAGAAATATCACCACATTTCATTGTCTTATGTTTGTTTTCTGTAGAATTTGTTTAAGCTAAAAAAAGAACTATGTACACATTTTTGGATGTGGCACTTATACACATTCATCTAGATCACATTTATGTCACTATCACTCACTGAACACTATATACATGAAATTCCACTGAGAAAGTACACTCCCTTCTACTACTTGATCCAGAGCTAGCCCTTTATTGGTGTTGCAACCTGCATTACCTGATCTAGATGTGGAATATTGGTTTTCCTATTCTGTCATATGTATTAATGATTTGTTTTTGTCCAATTCTTTTTTTTTTGTCTGTTGACCAGTTACAGGCTAAATTTGGTCTAGATGGCTCAATGGCCCCTGTGCAGATGGTAGACCCTGGTGAAGCATAACATTTACATGTCTAAACTAGAAAATATATATCTCTCAGATCCTGATTGGAAATGCAACATCTCTGTATGCTAGGCATATTTTGCTGGGAAACCTGGTCAAAAATTGGACTATATGACAAAGTGGGAATGGGAACTGAATAAGGAGTTTACTGTTGTGGAGTGGCATGGGCTTCTATTGGCACTACAGAAAACATCACAGTCTGTGGCTCTTTGGGAATCACATTATAAACTTCTCTACAGATGGTTCCTAACTCCCTCCAGTCTCTTTAAACTTACTTTATCTAGAATTAATACATGTTGGAGGAAGTGCGGGCAAATAAGCATACTTTTCACATCTTTTGGCCCTGTCCTAGGTTTTCAGAAATTATTTTGGGTCATCTATTAGTTTCAGCAACTTCAGTTGTTTCTCGGTATTGGAAGTCTGATACTATTCCATCTATGACTGAAGCATTTTGTAACTTCTTTGAAAATATGCAACATGAGTAGCTTCATGACACCTTAAACTGCTGTCAACTTGCTGAAAGAAATATGTATTACACTCTGGGAGGAGGACGTCAGGGGCCATTATGGCCTATAAAGCTTTCTTCAAACCTACACAAAACCGGATGACAAAATGAACACAACTTCTTAAAACACATATGGTATTCTAATTTTAGGATAACTATATTCTACTATTATATTAATGAGTTAACATACAGTTATTTTGTACTATTGGATTTCTGTTTGTTTATAAATTGTATTGTTATATAAAAGTACACCCTCTGTGAATCTATGGTTTTATATATCAGGACATAATAACAATCATCTACTCCATAGCAGGTCTTAAAATTAGGTAAATACAACTTTAGATGAACAACAACACATGACATATTACACCGTCTCATGATTTATTTAACAAAAGCCAAAACTGAAAAGCCATGTGTGAAAAAATAAGTACATCTTAATAATAGCTTGTAGAACCACCTTTAGCTGCAATGACGTAAAAAAATCATTTTCTGTATGACTTTATCAGTCTCTCACATCATTGTGGAGGAATTTTGACCCAATTTTCTTTACAATGTTGCTTCAGTTCATTGAGGTTTGCTGGCATTTGTTTAAGCACAGCTCTTCAATGAGGTTCAGTTCTGGACTTTGATTGGGCCATTGCAACACCTTGATTCTTTTACTTTTCAGCCATTATATTGTAGATTTGCTGGTGTGTTTGGGATCATTGTCCTGTTGAACAACCCAATTTCGGCCAAGCTTTAGCTGTCAGACAGATGGCCTTACATTTGACACTAGAATACTTTGGTAAACAGTGGTCGACTCAATGACTGCAAGGTTCCAAGGTCTTGTGGATGCAAAACAAGCCCAAATCATCACCCCTCCACTACCGTGCTTGACTGATGGTATGAGGTGTTTGTGCTGATATGCTGTGATTGTTTTTTGACAAACATGATGCTATGCAATATGGCCAAACATCTCCACTTTGGTCTCGTCTGTCAAAATTGTTCCAGAAGTCTTGTAGTCTGTTCAGATATAGATATATACAGGGCCTGACTGGGAACAGAAAGCAGCCCTGGAAAAAAATATTCCAGCCCTCTAATTTATTGTGTCACATAGTATGCTTGTATTCTTCATATGTACTTTGGAAGACTTTTGTCTTACCTGCAGCCCATTGCTCCAGTGCTATAACCGCCACCCTCCAGGACGCCCCTGTCGTTGTG